GGGAGTTTTTCCTCTCCACTGTCGCTGTATGCTTAGTGTGAGGGATTGCTGAAGGGTCGAACTAATTTCTTCTTTCTAACTGCTCATCCTGTAAATTTGGACTGGATTTACATAGAGAACTTTAATCTGACTGATGATCTGGTTGATGTGGATCTATAGAGCTGAGAGGAAAGGTGTTCTGTGATTTTATAGAAACAAACGGAACTGAATAGAATTATTGGAGAGTTTCCTCTGCAGTGGAACAGATTCCTGGGCTTTAGAGCTGGCATCGCTGCGGTCGTCCCATGGACCAATCAGCAGATCAGGAAGAGATCCGCGGGAGGACTTCCTGTTTCCTGTCCTCACTGCTAAACACCTGAATGCACGCAGGCGACCAAAGTGAGCGACTCACCCACAACCATCAGCGTGAACTCGAATCCTCTCTTCACCGATTTTCTGTACACCTGGTTGGGAAGGTTTGCGAAGCCCACATAGCCCTCCAAGTTCTTCTGTAGCTGCAGATGGAATTTAACACACAGATTAGAAACCTGATTAGTGCGGTGGGCAGCTGTCTTTACATCATGTCACCACCTTTAACAGTTATTTCTCTTGTGGTTTTGCACATCTGGAAACTGAAAGGTATCATTAGCACATTAGACTGTCTGGGAATCACATATTTTCCTTTGGCATTAGCTCTGAACTTTGACTAGGCAATTCTAGCTGATGAAGTTCTTCTTTCTCCACCCTTCCATTGTTTCTTTGGTAGCCTTCAGGTCCTGCTGGAAGCTGGACCTCTGACACAATGATCCCTCTGTATTCCAGCTTCCTTCCCCCAGCATAACGCTGCCACCACCCTGTTCCATCCATGCCCCGGTGGATCCACCCTCTCTGCATGTTCAGATGTTCAGAACTGAGCGTTTGGTTTCAGAAGCTAACCCGTGGTTCTCTAACAAACGTCTGGGAGCAGAAACAGAGCAGCTGCATGGAAATCCACCCAGCAGCAGCTGATTGGTGGAACCTGATGAAGGAATCAGTGAAGCTACAGAACTTCACTCCATTTTTCATTATTTCCTGTAAACATCAATAAACCACACATTCCTTTCGATGCTCAGTTCTGGTTCCCATGACCTTTGACCTTACAGGAATGAGCCGAGCGGAGTACTTACAGCTGGGATGGAGAGCAGAGGATGGGAAGCAGCGAGGGTCAGCAGGTCCAGGATCCAAGAAAAACACAAATAAAACAAAAATAAACCATTAGAACGAATAATAAAGGCGGATTAACAACTTTATTGGTTATTGGAGCGAAGTTACAGCAATAAATGGAGTTCTGCTCTTAACTAGGGCTGAAAAAATTTATTAGATCAATCAATTATTAAAATAATCATTAACTGGAGTAAAGAGACCCTGAAACGTGCCTTTAGCCGACAGAGCGACCCACTTAGAGCAGGAATTATATTTTTAAAAAAAGTGTAGAGCCACATGAAGAAGTAGATAACACAGATATTAATCACGCCAGCAGCAGTCAGTCAAAATCAACCGGACTTCCTTTTCACTATCATGGCAGCTCCAACCGCTTTACAGGGGACC